CATACCACTGCCTACTCACTCCCGACGGCGCTCAAACACGTCCGGCAGCGACGGCACGCACCGCAAGCACGGCGTGCCGGTCTGCGAACGGCCCGACGGGCGGGCGGCGAACTGCGGGTGCGGCAGGCGGATACGGACGGACAAAGAGCGGCCAATATCGCGGTTTGTCGGCTGGACGATGAAGGGAGGCTTAGCCGGGGTCGATGCACTCGTCTGGGGAGACGGGACGGCGGGACACGCGCCGCGAGGCAAGCCTCCCCCCCCCCCCCTCCGGGTAGCCGGAAAGTTGATGCAGAAAAGAAGAGTTAAATACATCGGGGAAGGAGAGATGAAATCACGGGTGCGGTGGCCGGGAAAACAAAAGTGGGGCGGTGTGTGGGAAAGGAGGAAGCAGACCTCTAGATCTGAAGACTTAGACGGGCCCGGGACAAGCAGCGCCCCTTCGTAAAACTGCGGTGTCTGAACAGCTCTCGACTCCCACAAACACTGCCAGCCCGAAACGCAAAAACTCTTGCCCACTGCCGCTCGGCATTCGCGTTTGTCCTAGGTGGGGAGTGCCGGCGGTCTGCAACAGCGGCCTCTTCCGTTCTGGCCGCGGCGACTGGTCGAGGCACCGCGCGATTGAGGGGAGCCTGCCCCGTCAACCCGCCGCGTCGGAGTAGTGCCCTGGTCTCGTCGGAGTAGTGCCCTGGTTGCGTCGAACTAGTGCCCTGGCCGCGTCGAACTGGTGCTCTGGCCGCGTCGGAGTAGTGCCCTGGCCGCGTCGGACTAGTGCCCTGGCCGCGTCGGAGTAGTGCCCTGGCCGCGTCGGAGTAGTGCCCTGGCCGCGTCGGTCTCGTGCCCGGTCACGTCGGAGTAGTGCCCTGGTCTCGTCGGAGTAGTGCCCTGGATGCGTCGAACTAGTGCCCTGGCCGCGTCGAACTGGTGCTCTGGCCGCGTCGGAGTAGTGCCCTGGCCGCGTCGGACTAGTGCCCTGGCCGCGTCGGAGTAGTGCCCTGGCCGCGTCGGAGTAGTGCCCTGGCCGCGTCGGTCTCGTGCCCGGTCACGTCGGAGTAGTGCCCTGGTCTCGTCGGAGTAGTGCCCTGGTTGCGTCGAACTAGTGCCCTGGCCGCGTCGAACTGGTGCTCTGGCCGCGTCGGAGTAGTGCCCTGGACGCGTCGGACTAGTGCCCTGGCCGCGTCGGACTAGTGCCCTGGCCGCGTCGGAGTAGTGCCCTTGCCGCGTCGGACTAGTGCCCTGGCCGCGTCGGAGTAGTGCCCTGGCCGCGTCGGAGTAGTGCCCTGGCCGCGTCGGTCTCGTGCCCGGTCACGTCGGAGTAGTGCCCTGGTCTCGTCGGAGTAGTGCCCTGGTTGCGTCGAACTAGTGCCCTGGCCGCGTCGAACTGGTGCTCTGGCCGCGTCGGAGTAGTGCCCTGGACGCGTCGGACTAGTGCCCTGGCCGCGTCGGACTAGTGCCCTGGCCGCGTCGGAGTAGTGCCCTGGCCGCGTCGGACTAGTGCCCTGGCCGCGTCGGAGTAGTGCCCTGGCCGCGTCGGACTAGTGGCCTGGCCGCGTCGGAGTAGTGCCCTGGCCGCGTCGGAGTAGTGCCCTGGCCGCGTCGGACTAGTGGCCTGGCCGCGTCGGACTAGTACCCTGGCCGCGTCGGAGTAGTGCCATGGTCGCGTCCGTCCCGTCAGCGGTGAGCCGGCGCTCTGCCATCGCAGCTGTTCGTGGCTCGATTGGCGAGTGGACGGACACGAGCTCGCCTCGGACCACCGGAGTGGTGGCGTGACGGACGCCACGGAGGGGGGGGGGAGCTAGTAATTTGGGGGTGAGACGCGTGTCTGGGGGCTGGCGAGTAGGTTGTGGCTGGGAGGGTGAATGCTTATGATGCATCAAGTGCATAAACAAATTATGCATCAATAAATTTAACGAGTGGAAAGCATAGCTTTGTGCCCCACACATGGCATGGCCTAAGAAATGGAATGCGGATCATGAATAGACAATGGAGAAGCATGTCAGTCACGCGCGGGGGGAACGGATGGAGTCTAAGCCAAAGAATGAACCGCAACAAGGAAATGCAATCAGCAAATAATATAAATAGAACGAGGAATGGACCGGGCGGCTGAGGTTCTGGACCGCAAACCGCAACTAAAGCTCTTCCATTTTGACGTCCGTCAGCAGGGCGACTGCCGCGTTGTCAGCAGTCCTTGCCTGGCTCTGATGTCACCGTGCAGAGCCGTCGTCGCGCCATACATGGTTACATTATCATGCTGATTACACCCTGGTCACATCATGTCCAACATCCTTGCCAGCTGTACTGCCAGTCGGACGTCCACGACACAGCAGGTGAAGCGTCATCGACGAAGCGACCGCTGGAGACGGCTGGTCACGACCACGAGCAGCCGCGTGCCCTTGCGTGCATCCCGGCCAAGCACCACGGCGCCTAGCGTGCTGACGTCCCTCGGACGCCGTGCAGCGACCTCCTGGTGCAACGCTCTCGTGCAGGGCAGTGCCCTGGACCTCAGCCGGACTCCATGGGTGAGAGTTGAGAGCTGAGAGCTCCGCCTGGGTGAGAGATGAGAGCTGAGAACTCCGCCTGGGTGAGAGCTGGGAGCTGAGAGCTCCCCATGGCTGAGAGCTGAGAGCTGAGAGCTCCCCATGGCTGAGAGCTGAGAGCTGAGAGCTCCCCATGGCTGAGAACTGAGAGCTGGGAGCTGAGAGCTCCCCATGGCTGAGAGCAGCCATGATAGCTGTCGGCGATCCGACGGTTGCAAGTGCTCGCCGTCTCTTCGAAGCACTCTCGGTGATCTTGTCTGAGGCAGTGAACAAGGTCGAATTCCCGATGCTTTTCTCGCTCATTTGGCTGAGGTCCTGCAATGACGCCCGGTGGGTAGGCCTGCGCGGCCTCCGTAGCGGCATGGTGCGACTCGGCCGTTCCCCTGAGTCTTGGTGTGACGGCGGCGCGGTGGCACGAGCCGCAGTCCGTGCCCCGTTCCAACCAGGCACAGCACGCGCGTCGATGCTGTTGTTTTAATGAGGACCGGGAGTAAATTGACCGAAGGCTGGGCGTCTTTTAGCTCCGCTGCACTTCGCCAATTCCTTTTCCATTTCACCTGTCCGTAGCTTGGGCGGAGTGTGAAGTGTAATTTCCGTTAGTTCGGAAGCAGGCACGACGTGGGGTGGAGGTCATTTTAAGGTTCATATATATATATATATATATATATATATATTATATATATATATATATATATATATATATATATATATATCGCATATATCCAAGGGACGCAAGTGCGGCATAACGAGAGGACGTGACAGGGTGGCATGTCCTGCCGAGAGCACTGGTACCTCTACAGGGAGTCTTCCACCAGTGGTATCATTTAGGACTGTGATTAGGCAGTCTAAGAGAACGATGGTAGCCTGAGACAGGTCCCATTTGAGTATACATCTGCAGCTCTTTTACCCATCACGCCGCACACATTTCTTGTCAATTTGGGCTCAGACTGCACCGTCGTTCGACGCGAAATGGGAAACGTGTAAAGACGTGATGGTCGGAGCCACCTGGCAGTGGATGGTGTAGGTCATCCGCGTGCAAGGCGCAACGTAGGTATCGACTGAGAACTCATATTTAGCTGGGGGCGGCTCTAGCCTCCCCCCCCCCCCCCCCCCCACACACTGAACTTCGAGGGAAAAGTGGGCCAGATTCTGAGAGAAACACGGTTTTGTTTTCCTTGTAAGGGTAGGGTAGCGGTAAGTTGGCTGTTTTCCCTGCTTGACACCCCTGACTTGCTTTGTGAAGCTACGCCCCTGACTCGCGCTTGAGACGTCGGCGCCGTCCACGATCGCACCGCTTCCTTCGAACACTCGGAATCTGCGTAGGTGCACCTCAGCGACACCTGGCGGTGCTACGGACGCGCAGGAAGCCGCAGGAGCAGTCGAGGTCACGTGGCATATATCAATGCAGTCTCAACAGAAGCTGACCAACAGTTTCAAGGAAATTCCGACACCCCTTATGGCACGACCCAATCTTTCGCTCGCTCTCACCGGTCCCAAGAACGGCTGCATGCAAAACGGGCCATCTCTGGTTCATTGCGGTTAAAGTGCAGAATTCTAATTGGCGACAGCAAAGGCTGCCAATATTCCTGTATAGAGATTTTTTGCTCAGATTCTCCAGTTTTGGTGGGATAGTAATCTACCCCTTTGCAGCTTGGCGATATTTTTTGCTAGATAGTCCGCGAAAGTTGGATCCCTGTGGTCCCGATGGATGGGCTAAAATTTTTGAAGTGAAAGCCAACGAGTGGTCGCATCATGGTATTCAAGATACCAGAGTTTCCTCAAAACTCCGGGCAAACTTCTTTCGAGGCTGTACCACAATCGTCCCCACAGGTCCCTGTTCAGGAAAGTGGACCTCCTTAGAAATCTTCGTCGGATAGTGCGCAAAATCGGAAAATCGGAAAATCCTGCACCGGGCCACCGAGACCTAAATTTCCAGCACTATCTGGCCATGAATACGCCAAGCGGCAGAGTGGTCAGGTAGGTTTAGCCTGTCAAGCTGGAGAGGCTTAATAAAAAGCCTTCTTTCGCCGACATCAAATATATCCAGCTAGAAGATTTTAACAAAGACCTCCAACAGTTATTCAAGGAAGGTCCCCTTAGCCATGAGGATAGAGCACTGGGAGAAGCATTAAGTGCTTCAACTCCGGCCAACATCCAGCCAGAGGCTCTCAAACATCTTGTCTGATTATCTTTCCCAAGGCAGCGTGCGCCAAGCGGCACATCGAGAGCTAAACCAGTTCCTTCGCCTATCGGACGGCGCGGACACATATTTCACCGCGCACTAGCCCAGCCTGGTGACTGAACTCGCGGCGGCCGTGACCTGCAACGTCGCGCGTACGTGACCGACTTTGACCCGTGGTGTTACCAGAATGACCAAATCCCGGAAGCACGGGTGCTGAGCCGACCCAGCCCGCCTACATCTGCGGCCCAGGAGCGGCGGGCCCATTCTCAGCCGGCGCTCGAGCGCGACAGGATCGCGCGGCATGACGTCATTGGCAGCTGCGGCGACGCTCGGTCTTCTGCTGCTCCAGGTGAGACCAGGGAGGCGTCAGCTGAGCTGAACGGCCGGACAGCTCACCGAGCTGCGCTACACCAACGGACGATGCGTCCCTATCGTGGGGGGGGGGGGGGGCAGAGTGCTGTGGGATAGGGGGCCACCACCTTTGTGCTTAGGCTGTGTGAAATCTCACCGTCGTCTGCACCATGCCTCTGAGGCTGCGGCCTGGTCTTTGATCTATTGTCGGGCTGTGACCGGGTCTGCACTGCAGTCTATGGCCTGGTCCGAGCTCGGGCCTGTGGTCGGGCCTACCTGTGGTCTGTCCCTAGATCTGTGGCCAGGTCAGGCCTGTGTCTGGTCTGTCCTCCGATCTGTGGCCAGGTCTGACCATTCCTGTCTCCCGGTCTGTTGAGGGGTCTATGACGGGCGTGTGGAACGGTCCCCGACCAAATCTGAGGCCAGGTCTGTGGCTGGGTCTGGGATTGGGTCTGTGACCCGCTGTCTGACCCGGTCTGTGGCCGAGTTCCTGGCAGCGATGGGGTCGCCCTCGTAACCGGGCCTGCGATCGGGTTTGTGGCAGCATCTGTGGGTTGGTCTGGGGGCGGGGAATTCTGAAGGGGTCGGCAGCAGGTTCTGGCCTGTGTATCGAGCCAATGTCATCTGGTTGCCGTGGTTACGCAGCTGGAGCCTGGAACCGTGCCGGGACCATAACGTTTCCTAATCGGAAAATTATTTGGTGGACGTCATCACAACGTAATCACATGGCCGTGTGCTACGCAAATGTGATAAAATTCGATTATATATATATATATATATATATATATATATATATATATATATATATATATATATATATATATATATATATATATATATATATATATATATATATATGACGTAGCAGACCACAGGTGCCGGATGCCCCTTGGAAAGCCCGCTGCCAGCGACGGTCAGGCACCCGTCAGCTTTGTGCTAAGGCCTGAAACCACATGAGTATATATATATATATATATATATATATATATATATATATATATATATATATATATGCAGATATATCGCGAAAAATTGAGAAATTATTGGTTCGTAGTTGGAAACTCATAAGCTTCCTTCAGGGATCTAGAAGCGCATCCAAAGGGAGCTCCCTTCCCCCTTAACCCATATGTTTCAATTTACCATAGGTGGCTTCTATCAGCAACTTAAAAAGATGCGTGATGCATTCTCACGGAACTCTGTTTTCCTCCCTGAAGAAGACACTTTCCACTGGTTTTATTCCAAAAACTGTGCGACAGGCGATGACGTCAGCGTATGTGTTGTATGGTGTTACCTGTTTTTACTGTCGTGGCAAGCACCGAAATAAACATTTTCTTCACCCCCGCCTGCATATACCAAATGTAATAAATCACATAGCTGGTGAGATGGCTGGAAACCAATGATGACTCATCAGCTCTCGTTGTCGCCACATGAGTTCATTTCCCTGTCCCGCTAAATCGCTCCTCAAGCACCACGAGGCAGGCACCTGTTCCTGCAGAACCAGTCACGTAGCAGACCAGAGGTACTGGATGCCCCCTGGAGAGCCGGCTGCCAGCATCGGTCAGGCACCTGCCAGCTTTGTGCTGTGACTTGCGGCCATGTCGTGGTCGACCAATCCGAGCTGATGTTGGCATTTAGCGTCATTTTTAGGCCGCCGCACGGCGCACCCGACCCTCCATCGCTTTTCGAGTTTGCGGCGTCTGCGGTGCGGAAACCAGTTGTACGTTGCCGTTTGACTCACTGGTCGATGCAAAGCAATACGAGTCGGGTCACCTAGGTGCGGTGCGCCGTCTACGGCTCGCCGCTGGACTGGCGTGGCTCAAGACTGCCTCCGTCGCTGCCATCAGCGGCAGCAGGCAGACGCCCGCCGACAAAACCGGTGCAGGGAGCGGAAAGCTAAATATAGCCCTGTTGTGTTCAACCCTGAATGCATTCTTCTGAACAGAGACACATGACAGGGCCAGCATCATGAAACAGGGCATAGAAATGCGAGTGATGGTATGCACATCACACACACACAACTAAAAAAAAAATGCTGCGACAACTAGGTGACGGAGGGCTTAGCGAAAACGTGTGCGCGCTCCACTAATACACTACGCTACACTACTGCACTACGCCACGCTAATACGCTACGCTACACAGGAACGGAACGCGCAACTGATCAACATAGCGTAGGCGGGCTTGGAACAACCAGTGAAGTGTGCTAGTGATGACCCAGTGTAAAGGCTGGGAACTGCAGGCGTGCAGCGGTTAATTATTGTGGCAAAATAACGTTCCTTTTGCTTAAGTGGCCATCAATGCGTACTTTTACTGAGTATAGCGGAAAACTGGTCATAATTTCCAAGTTGGGCCTATCCTAAAACTTGAAAACCCAGGCACTGAATGATTTTTGTCTTGGATTTGTTTACACTTGTGCTTTAGTTAAAATTCATGACTCTTGTTTGGTTTCTGGTAATGTTGAAAAGTGCATTGTTATCAGTACTATCTAAGAGGTAAATTGCTCTGCACACGTTTGTAATGGCACACCGCAGCCGTCGTTATCGAAGTTAGTGTAAGTCAAGGGATGTCAATCTCGTTCCGTATATTCTATCATATTTGTACCATCTCAGTGGCTCAACTTTCGGCGCTCTACATATCACTTAAATCTTGAGCGAACTAGCGTTTTGGGGCCTGGATAAAGTGACCACGTGGGTACTCACAGTTCAAGAACTTCGCGGTTGATAATTTTGTATTCCAAGACGGGTCATATTTATGACCAGTCACTCGTGAGTTGTGGCCTTTCGTCTGATACCGAAAATGTAGATTTTCCCCAAAATGAAGATCTTTAAACTTCCCAGTTTAACTTAGTTAGTTAGTAGTTAAACTTCTTAGTTAAAAATCCGTCATATATCTACTATTTCACTAGAGATAATAGGTTATCTAATAGATATTTGTCAGCGCTTATTTCAACACTTCTTATCGGTTTTATAACATCTGCAAACATCAATGCTTAAGAAAAAAAATCGCACTCAATGTGATTCACAAATCATTTGACTACAAGCAGTCGAGGAAAGATCTTTGGAGCACGCCACCATTTACCGCCTTCCAGCTTGATAACGTCAAGGCAAATTTATGTAATTTCTGTCGTTTAAGCAGCTTTGCATTCAAGCTGCTAACGATTCATAAATTCTGCAAAGTTCTAGCAGGTGGATGAGTCCTCAACGAACTATACCATCAGAGGCCTTATTAAAATCGAGATATTGAACACCTGCCGATATATATATATATATATATATATATATATATATATATATATAATCTGCAGGCATCAGCCATGAGCGACATGGTTCAAATTGTCATCGACAACACCATGACGACTATTTGTGTTTCCTTTTTCTTAGACTGCTGAGGGTATGGGCAAACAAAAACACGACGGCCATACCCATGGATGATGCCGAATTTATCAAGCTCGTTCTCGCTGGTGTTTGGACCAGCATGGCATACTGAGCCAGCCAGGTCCACTCATCACTCGTGCGTGCCTGAATTGTGCATGCTTCAGCTACAGCCGGCAGAGGACACCGGTGGCATGTAACCATTCGTTGTAAAAATCCACCGGCGCTGCTCACGACGAATGTGATGCATATGAAGCAGATAACGCCTGACCGATGACATTGGACATGCCACCAGGACGGCATGCCTGGCTGAGCTTTGTGAATTCACTAAGCTTTCGGACGGCAAGTCATGATACGCTGTCAGCATTGCACGGTAGGCTACGATTTTTTCACAATTGGATTACATGTTTGGAACTGATGATACACATATTTCGACGCGGCTTCGAGATGAGATCGATGAAAAACGTTGCCATAAAACAACGAAAAACCTTTACAATAAGTGGCTGGAAGCGATCGGTTTTATAAAACAAAATTGGTGAGTAGGGTATCGTGTGGCATTGAAGGTCGAGCTGAGTGACTGCTTATTGATTTTGCGTCCAAAACATCTTACAGAACTGTTCTGGTGGGTGCTTGTCAGAGGCGCAAAATCACATTAGACTCTGCAGGTTTCAGGACTGGCAGCTTCCGACAAAGATGGCGGGCGGCAGAAGGATCCAGGGTCACGGACAGGTGACCTTGAGCTGCGCGACCTTTCTGCAGAAGACCGGCGACTGAAGGCCAAGAAGTGGGTTACCCCCTTCCAGCTCGAAAAGCTGCCGCTGGAGCAAGTCAACAGTGACAAAACGCGTGAGTGAGCACTGCACGGAAGGTCCGAACGGTGTACTTGTCCTCACTGCCATCCCGCCCACTTCAAGCGAAAAGACTTAGTTAAGAATTGAATTTTTGGATTTGGATTTCATGGGAGTGAATCCGTTTTTCGGATTAAACTCCCACCGGTGCAGATTGCTTCTTCTTGTTGTCGGTCGTGATGCTCGATTTCAGGACTTGGTTGCTGGCTGTCGATTGCAGTCGCCTTTCAGAGACCTGCCTTGGTTACACTGGTTCCTGGGTCTGGTTACAGTGGTTACTGGTTGCGTATCTGGTTACAGTGCCGAACGCCGGGAGGTTCAAGATAGCTGACGGCGTAACCGTAGCTGTGACGTCGCCGAATTACCCAGACGAGTACGGATCGTTCATCTGGACCTCCTGGAAAATAGAGGTGACCGCATGCCGACATTAGACGTCGATAGCTTGAGCGAAATCTGTCAAGGATCCGAGAAATATGCTAGACAATCTTCGAACGCTTTACTTGATCTAACCCTGTCGTAACGCAGCGTGGAAATGAAGGGAAATGATGATCACTTTTGGAAGCATGCCGAGAACTAACAGGCATGATGCGGCAAATCGTGTGCAACAGCCCCCATCGCTCCACCCTCATTTTAGGAAAGACTCATATGGTCAGCTCCTGCCCTTGCACACCTTGACCATGACCATGTATTCGCACCATATACCTGAGCATAAAAGTTCCCAGGCAGCGGTTGCCAAACAATAGGTCACGTTTTTTCTTTAACACTAAGTTATGCCTCTCCTAGCCAGATTATTTTTGAATGGTGTGCGATTTTGCGCGGAAGTTGGCGTGTGAGCTCACTGCATGGTCGGTGTGTGACCCCACCCGGCGGTCGGTGTGTGACCCCACCCGGCGGTCGGTGTGTGACCCCACCCGGCGGTCGGTGTGTGACCCCACCCGGCGGTCTGTGTGTGACCCCACCCGGCGGTCGGTGTGTGACCCCACCCGGTGGTCGGTGTGTGACCCCACCCGGCGGTCGGTGTGTGACCCCACCCGGCGGTCTGTGTGTGACCTTTTCCGGCGGTCGGTGTGTGACCCCACCCGGCGGTCAGTGTGTGACCTTACCCGGTGGCTGCCGTGTGACTCGGCCGGCGGCGGCACCTGACCCTACCCGGCTGATGGCAGCCGAGCAGCGCGGACGCCCCGCTCCGCCTCAGCTGCGACACCTTCGACCTGGCCCACGGCGACTACATCGTGGTGCGCGAGTCGAAGCGGCGGCGCGTGGTGCTGGACGCCTCCGATGGGCCGCCCGATCTGGAGACGGGCGGGGCGCTGGTGCTGGAGCTACGCAGCGGCCGGCGCGGCCGCGGCCGGCTCCGCTGCTCCGTGCGAGCCGGCGGCGCGGCGCGGCCGACCGCCACGGAGACAGCGACGTCGACAATCACCACGACGTCGACGCCCGTCGGCGGCACCGACTTCTGGTGGCTGACAGTCACACCCAAGCCGGTGACGGCGCCGACGAAGCCGCCTACAAAGCCGCCGACGGGAGCGCCGGCGGTGGCTCCAACGAAGCCGTCGACTGTGGCGCCGCCGGTGGCGCCTGCAGTGGCTCCAACGAAGCCGCCGACGGTGGCGCCGCCAGTGGTGCCGGCAGCGGCGGCAGCGGCGGCAGCGGCGGCAGCGGCGGCAGTGGCGGCAGCGGCGGCGCCGGTGGCGCCACCGGTGGCCGTGGCTTGCGGTACGAGCAAGCACACCAGTCGCATTGTGGGCGGCGAGGCGACGAAGCGGTCCGCCTACCCCTGGCTGGTAAGCGTCGCACGGCGACTGGAACTGATTCTGCGGCGCGGAGCAGGGTGCTGAGTGGAGCTATACCACATGGTTGATACGGCCGGCAGCGCTGACTGCCTATTGTCTTCATCTTGTATTGTTAAGTCCGGTGCGCCATCATGATGCATGACGCATGCTTTTGTCGTATATGATGGCCAAAGGGTGGCCGGCTATGGTGATCTATAGTGACCCCAACCAACTCATTAGGGAGGCACTATGTCAACGCGGTGTAAAATTAGATATGTTCAGCAAAATCACTAACATCCTGATCTGAATATCATGACAACAGCAAGGGACTTGGAAATAGCAAACATGTAACCCCTAGAACGAAGTCGTTAGCGGAACCGTTCATAGAATCTCGGCTGCAGTCCATGGAAGCTGACTTTGCATAGTAAGATTGTACCAACCGTCAATCGGCAGCGGTTCTATGACACCTCTGACCTCTGGGACCAGCTGTCGTGTTCACCTTGCGCTGGTCGGCTTCACGTGCTTTACGGGCAGGTCACAGCGAAGAGCCTCCTCCCAAGTACCGAGACCGCCGCTCAGCAAGGGGTGGCGGTCAGTGACCGCAGGGGTGGTCAGTGACCTCGGAGGCGGTCAGTGACCTCAGAGGCGGCCAGTGACCTCAGAGGCGATCAGTGACCTCGGAGGTGGTCAGTGACCTCGGAGGTGGTCAGTGACCTCAGAGGTGGTCAGCGACCTCGGAGGCGGTCAGTGACCTCAGAGGCGGCCAGTGACCTCAGAGGTGGTCAGCGATCTCGGAGGCGGTCAGCTGCACTGCGGGGCTACCATGCGAGGCCGAAAGCCCTCATGACGATGCGTTGGTTCCAGGTCGGGCTCGTCTGGTCGTACAGATATGCGTCGAGGAAGCCATTTTGTGGCGGCAGCATCATCAACGAGCGGTTCATCTTAACGGCAGCACACTGCACCGCACGGTGAATGGATCACGAATGACGCTTTTTATAACGACAGTTCGTGTGTTTGAAATTTGTTATTAAGGCGTGCTGAACTGCTGGGAACATCAACAGTGCGGGAGATGTACAAATACCATTGGAATAGTGTACAGATGTGCAAATACCATAGAAATGTAAAAATAATGTACAAAAAATGTACATTAAAAATAATGTACAAATGCCATAGGAATACCAGTGTACAAATACAACTGGAGCTTGCACGTGTATTATATAAATACAAGCTCTGGAATCATCATAAGAACAGTTAACGCAGCGCGGATTGGATCGAGCTGCTTGCTGAACTCATTAAAAAGAACAGGCTTTGATCGACCTGTAACAGCTGGATGACAAAGGATGACATCGGTGCTACGGTAATACTCTCGTTAAAGTTACACATATCAATAAAACATCGTATCAATATAATCATGCTCAAATGCGGTGTATGTCTGTGCGTTCCTGTTTGACTTGATGGATTCACCATTGTTATCTATTGTTTCAGGAGGTCCGCGCGCGGCACCAGCGTCCTGGTAAGGAAGCACAGCTCAGTGAATGATGACATGGAGATCAAGATGGACTTGGAAAGCATTTTGGTTCATCCAGACTACAATTCCAAGACACTGGACAACGATCTGTCTCTGCTTGAGTAAGCACGAGTGATGCGCGCAGTGCCCGGATCAGTTTCGGCTGTTGAGGAATGGGTGGGTCCCCTGCGCAACCGTTGCCGTGTAAAGGAGCCGCAGCTGTTGATCGTAGATCGTAGCCTTGATCATAGATCATAGATCATAGTCTGATCATAGATCGAAGTCTCTGGTGTTCCGTGCCGCTGCTGTCGACCGAAGACTGCAAGAGTGTCGTCGCGGAGCTGCGTGCGACGTCGCTGCAACAGATCCACTGACCGACCCCCTGCTGCAGCAAGGGGTCGTTGCTATCATTGGTCCTGGTCAAAAACCTCACCAGTGTGGATGTTGCGAACAGGCAGGCTCGTTCTTGGCAATGTATGCGCCAAATGACTCCGTCAAGATCGTTGTGTCAGCCTTGCAACCTTAAAAAGGCTCGGGGTACCGTTGTTTTAAACACAGGTTCACAGGTGGCGCTGTTTGATACGTTGGATGTTACCATGGCGCGGCCCTTGTGCACCGATGGTGTCGTTGCCATTCGTTTTCTGGGCCAAAGGCTCCACTGGTGCCGTAGTTTCAGATCAAAGCGCTCAGTCGCTACAATCAAAGCCTTCAATGCTTCCGTCGCTGCTGGCGGAAGAAGCCTGCTGGTAATGGGACATGTGTGTTATGTGCTGGCACTGTTGGAGCCTGTGGTGCTGCTGCTACAGGCTGAAGGCGGGAGCCTGTGGTGCTGCTGCTACAGGCTGAAGGCGTATCCGTGTTGCCGTCACGGACAGTGGGGATGCCTTTCTCGCCGTTAGACATCTAAACCTTGTCGGGTGTCACCGCTGCAGGCTGAAGGAGTCGCTGCTGCCGCTGTTCAACAACCCGGACGGCGCCGTAAGACCCATCTGCCTGCCGAAGCTGGCCTGCGGCGGCGGCAGCGGCGGCGCCGCCGCCTGCTTCCAGGACCGCATCAGCGTGCTAGCCGGCTGGGGCGTGCTGCGCTCCGGAAGCAAGAAGCGCCCGCCGGTCGTCCACCACGTCAGCGTACCGGTGGTGACGAACGACGCCTGCAGCGCGAACTACGCCGCTGATAATGTGAAGATCACCAGTCGCATGCTGTGCGCCGGTCTGGCGGCAGGTGGCAAAGACACGTGTCAGGTGCGACAGCGGGGGAGAGAGGGAGCGAGAGGGAAAAGGAAGGAGGCGGAGGGAGGCTGAGAGTGTGCCGGTCTGGCGGCAGGCGGCAAGGACACGTGTGAGGTGCGACAGCGGGGGGGGGGGGGAGAGGGAGCGAGAGGGGAAAGGAAGGAGGCGGAGGGAGGCTGAGAGTGCGCCGGTCTGGCGGCAGGCGGCAAGGACACGTGTGAGGTGCGACAGCGGGGGGGGGGGGGGGGGAGAGGGAGCGGAAGGGAAAAGGAAGGAGGCGGAGGGAGGCTGAGAGTGCGCCGGTCTGGCGGCAGGCGGCAAGGACACGTGTGAGGTGCGACAGCGGGGGAGAGGGAGCGGGAGGGAAAAGGAAGGAGGCGAAGAGAGGCTGAGAGGGAGATGAGGAAGGTAAAAGCAGTGCAAAAAAGAAAAAGAGGGGAGAGGCAGGAAGAGGGAGAGAGAGAGGGAGTTAGAGAGGAAGTGACTTAGGGAGGGAGGGTGTACTACTGTGATGGAGGGAATTAGGAAGAGAGAAATATGAACGGAGGGAGGGAGGAGGTGGAGGAAGGGAGACGGAGAAAGAGAAATGGAGGAAGGGAGGGAGTTAGGGAGTTAGGGATGGGGTTGGGGAGGGAGGGAGAGATAGACGGAGAGATGTAGCGAGGGAGAGAAATGGAGGGAATGAGGGAAGGGTGAGAGGGAGTTAGGAATGGAGTTGGGGAGGGAGAGAGAGAGACGGAGGGAAGGAGTGAGGGAGCGAGGGAGAGGGAGGGAGGGAGAGAGGAAGGGAGGAGGGAGAAAGAGAGGAAATCGCTCGTCAACGTGATCCCTATATCACAGAGAAGCGGGTTTTGACGTAACCTCCGTGACGCAGGGTGACAATGTAGTGAAGTGGCTTCGCCACAAGGTGACTGACTGCTGATGCGGCCTCTTCCCCCAGGGCGACAGCGGTGGGCCGATGATGATCCGTTCTCCCGACGAAATATACACGCTGGCCGGCATCGTCAGCTTCGGAAATGGTTGCGCGCTGCCAGAGTTCCCAGGGGTGTACGCCCGCGTCTCAGGTGCTTCCCCACCTTCGTCAGTGTGCCAGTCGACGGATACAAGATCCCCACGTGGCATGCTGATAAACTGGAGCGTATTCTGGGAGAGACGATGCTGCACCCACCTCCAGTTTGCTTTTCTTCATGAGCACTACCCGAACTGTTCGCGAGACGAAGTTTAAATTGAAGCTGCTTGATTTCGAAGCCTCGTTAAACATGACTACATGAATATCAGTTCATACCATTACATTCACATGGCTTGTACCGATCTCGCAAATACTGCTGAAAGAGAGTATGGAAATCTTTGCCCAAAGTTGAACGTAGCGTTCCGTATCACCGAATGTCTGGAGAGGAGTCTGTCTGTGAGTCCGCGAGGAGTCTGCCGGTCTGACGGTACTGACCGCTGGCTTTTTGCAGAGTTTCTGCCCTGGATCCAGGAGAACAGCCAGCTGTGAGAGCTGTCCTCTAGACTGGACAGGCAGGTGATGGTTGACGGCCACCGCCGGCCGCCTCCTGTTCTCACCCTGGCCAGAGGGTCAGGCTGGCGCCACCGCGGACCCAGCGGAGACACGTGACGTCTTCTGGCCGTCGAACTGGCATCGAGACAGACAGCTGCTGATGCCAGCGAAGTGGTGCCCGGCCAACCATTTGGTGGAGGCAACAACTGAAAGTCCTCTGAAAATTATAAGGAGCCTGCGTGAGGTGGCAAAAGCTTCTGACGCAATATAACACATCGTGCTTGTTCCCCACCGTCTCAAAACTAATTATTCTCCTTTCATCGGGATTTCGCCTTTTCTACCAGCTTTTGCTTCGACACTGATCCCTCACGGACAACGCTCAGACCATCTTGTCGCTTCATACATTCTTAGCCAAACAGTGATGCATTGGTCGCAAGCTCCGATGGTTGATGGGCCAGTTGGTTTCGTTGCACGCGCAGCTGTCTTATTCAGGCCCGGCGCGTGCGCTGAAGTTTCTATTGTTTGTCACGGATTCTCTGTCACGTGATGCATTATTTATACAACCTGCCGTAGTTGTGTCATTGTTTAACTTGTTGACAATCATAATGATTAATAACTTCATATTCTATGCAAGAAACTATCGGTACGGTACATTCTAGTTACTGTGACATGTGTGGCATATGCAGAGCCGTGCAGAATATTTTGGGGAAGTGTAAACGGCTTACATTGAAATAAATCATAAAACAGCCGTTCCGAGCCTGGTTGGTACCCAGTATGTGTGTCCGCTGATCAGGACAATAGAGTACATCACTGGTTCGTGCACAGCACCAGATTTTATCGCCGGCACAAGTAGCACGAATAGGATGGCTTTAATCAACGCAGTAGCCCAGAACAAACGTGTAAATACATGCATAACCTTGCAAACAAGTAACTGATGTAGCGATGTTGGACGAATTATTGAACGGATGCTTCCGTACATCGGCACAGGTGGACGATGGGTTTTCTGTGCGGATCGGTGGCGTCATCAGATTTCGGATCGCGGGGGGTGTAATTTTCCAAGGGCCCTCAAGGACAAATGGGGCCTCCTCGTAGGGGGTCTCCTGAGCAGCGACGTGTTTAGGGAGACCAGGGGTGCGTGTCTCCTTCTCAAGTCTTTAAATATAAGAATATCGAAATGACTGAATGCCGACAAGTAACAAAGCCAAGTAGCCCCTTAAACAATAAATAGATTTGAAACATGCCATGACATTTCAAGCCATGCTGACAATTCGTACTAGTATGACAAAAATGACAAAAAGTAATAAAATCGTTTTATAGCGGAAACTTTGGGCCTTTCATCGCCTCCCCCCCCCCCCCCCCCCCCCTCCCCGTCGCCATTGCGAAATAATCCATGAACCGTGTTCCTGGGCGATAGTTTTTAATGAGCCCCCGTAGTTTGGGCGGGGAGAAGGCGAGCGTATTTCTCTATAACCTATTTCTAGTCATTGAAGGGAGCCCGAGAACTTGGATAAAGTGATGTTCATAATTCTGCCAGTAATTTTGCAGTTTGTGAAAGTAACGGAGGCGTCAGTTCCTGGGCCGCGCAGGGCAGTTGGAGCTCATCACGAGGACCAATCTTGTACAGGAATGATGGCGACCTTGTCTGTGTATTACTTCCATAGATGTTAGTTTTTTGTGGGTTTCTCAAAGTGATTGGGAGCGGGTCCAAGGCCGTGAGAGTCGCAGGTACAGAGGAGTCGCAGGTAAAGAGGGCGAGTACCTCTTGGATTTCATCCACTCTACTGTACATCCACTATGTATGCTATACGTACACACACACACACACACACACACACACACACACACACACACACACACACACACACACACACACACACACACACACACACACACACACACACACACACACACACACACACACACACACACACACACACACACACACACACACACACACACACCACACACACACACACACACACACACACACACACACACACACACACACACACACACACACACACACACACACACACATATATATATATATATATATATATATATATATATATATATATATATCAACATTTATTGCATGTCTTGAAAGCTAAAGTGTGCTTATCCACAACCAAATAACACCGGTGAGCCTCAAATTGCAATAGCTTTTTAAAAGCATGTCATTGTGCTTTTAGATAAGTTCTTAATTATTGATATATGTATGCACAAACTATACCGTCCAGAGTAAGCGTGTAAAATTTTGACACAGGTGAGTTCACGTGCAGGAAAGCACACCGTGTGACTTTGGTATCTCTAACTCTCAGTTTCTGATATCTCAAAAGGGAGTCAAATTCCCTTGCCCCACGGTTTCCCCCAGGGGTCCCTGATGAGCCCAATCCTCTTCAGCATGTTCACAAACGACCTTCCATTCTACCTGCCTGCCGAGGAGCTGATTTCCTACACCGGCGATACTCAACTGCTCGACTTCGCCCACCGCGATCGCCTATCCACCCTAAAATTCCGTCAGGAGAAAACCACCCTTGCCCTCCAATCCTACTTCACTGCCAATTCGCTGAAGACTAACCCTACTAAGGCCACCCTTCTTCTAGTCGGCACGCCCTAGGCCATCGAAGAACCTCATCCATCCATCTTTGAACCTCTAACTTATGTTAGGCCCATTGCCGTCCGTGAAGATGCTGCGTGTGACCATCGATCGTACTCTATCCCGGGAGGAGAACATATCCAAATTAGCTGAAAAGCGCAACTCTATCCTGTTATGTTTATACGAAATTCGTATCTCACACCTGAAGCCCGCTAATTCCTTATCCAGGCTCGTGCTTTTCCGCACATCCTGTACTGCCTCTCAGCTTGGGGCGCGGCCGTCGCCTGCTACCACGGCCGGGTGCAAAAAATCGTGAAATTCGCGGCCAGGATCGTCTCGGTGCGCAGCGTTGAGATCATGTTTCGCCGGTGGTAAGGTTGCTACGCTGACGCGGAACTAGTGACCTTGTTACGCGCGGCGACCATACTGGCGTCTTCAGGGCCCTTTATGACCGCCTTGCACCGGTGGCGGTCCGGTCGCTGTTCACCCCTCGGACCGCTGTGAGCGCATCACGAGATCGACCGTGGTCGGCGCATTGGAGCTGCCGCCTTTCAGGCTGTCCATGTCGCGTAGGGGTTTTTCAAATCGTGCTGCCTCGTCCTGGAACCCCCTGACTCCAGCCGTCATGATCTCCCGGAGCCGTGCTGCCTTCACATCTAAACTTAACCAATGTGAAAAATAGGGATTTGTTTGTCGTTGAGCGCCTTTCTCAAGCTCTTTACGTGCCATCATCACCGCTGAATCTTCGTTTTGATCCTGTAGTTTGTAACCCATTGACACGAATCACACATTAAGCTGCACGTATGCAGCTATTCGTAGTAAATACATGGCATACATACATACGTGCATGTAGACGGCTACTTAATTGGCTACGTTTTTGGGTGCAACTATTGCACCACTTTGTTTCCGTCTTCCGATGAGAACTCGTCGCAAAATGACGCAACTTGCTGCGGTTTGTATAACTGAAACGTAGTTGAATAATGCCAAAGCACTCACACAACAACACAAAACTAGGCCAGAGTTAATAAGAGATAATATAGCGTGTAGTTAGAAGCACGCGGCATGCCGGAAAAAAACAGAAAAACTCAAGTAGACATGGTACGACCGCGGAGCTTTTAAGTGTGACTAGTTCAGTTAGGTGCCCTAAACTATACGCGATATCGCGGTTCTCATTTCCTTTGGCCACCTTTTCCTATGAAACAATGCCCTTAAGTATTCTTTAAGTTTGATGTATTTTCGAGCTCCTGTTTGTGATGTCCTGCATTTACTTGGGTTCCAGAAGGCTGGGGGCGCTAAACTTGCCATTGGAGGTGGGGGGGGGGAGTGCAGGCTAGAAGTGGGGGGGGGGGGGCAGTGGCCCACCCAAAGGAATACAAATCGACACTCGTGCATAATATTACACGTCATCAGCCCTACAAGCACGATACGGAAGTTGTTACACCCGTCGCACTCGTTCGTCTAGCCTCTCCGCTACTGGCAACGGTCGTAATCCTTGAACAACCTCATATGACCTTGCATGTCCTTACGTGACATGTTCGGACCTTATGATGTATCAGAATGATATCGCAGCATGCCTTCAGTAGGGTATTCAACTTGTGCGCCGAATGTTATACAATAAACTGTTCATTCCAAGCTCAGCATGTGTTTTGCAGAGGGCGCGCATAGAGGTAGGTCATGACCTGGATCTAGGTTATGTGTTTTGAGGTCGTATGATGGCTCTGCATGCGGGTTAGTACTTTAATTCCCTGATAACATAACACCGAAAATATGCCAAAATGTATGAAAATTGGCATTGCCTACGGAAATTGCAAAACTTGATCTGACTTTAGTTCAATAGCCTCGCCTGTTCTGAAAAAAATGAAAAATATACAGGCTGTAGGTGCTACCATTTTTCATTATTATAGCAAGTTTGGGCAATCCCAAATAACCCAAAGCAAAGCTATACGTGGGCAAAGTTCCTTTTTTTGTTTGACCTCTTTGATCTGACCTAGGTCACTGACCTCAGCAGATTAAACCTTCAAATTTGCACAAAAGATGCAAATTGACAGGTGGCTAGGCGCTGAAAATTTGGTGTTGCTGCAAACGTTCGTTTTTTAGCCGCGCTCGAAAAACCGAATGGGAAAGTCGCTTCCCGGCCGAGCGCGGGTTATGTAGGGACCTGAACACTTCATGCGATAGCGATGGTAATGTGTATGTGTTAGGGGGGGGGGGGGCTTCCTCAGCTCCGCCCCGCCAGTTTTGGTGCCGCTGAAGAATGCCTTACGGCCATGCTCTCATTGGAACCTTTCCGTACAACTCATTTTTGATTTTTAGACGTGCTACTCGCTGTCAGCCAAGTTTTACCGCGAAGACACGACGTCTGCTGTGTTTCAAACCCAGAGCCTTAGCGTGCATATACGCGACGAGGATATCTCTTGGCATCTTAGTCCTAATCAGTGGCCTTCTGATAGTCAGAAAGGCCTCCGGTTCCAAAACAGCAGCTTCATGATATGTACAAGGTGTCTCCTAATCCCGAACAAGGGCCTCCTTAATGCCCAATGAGGTCCTTCGCGTCAGCAAAGGGGCGTCCTTAATACAAAAGAGCCCCCTGACAAAGAAAAGGGACTATCTTATCTATAAGGAGAGCCTCCTGATCCAGAAAACGGACTTGCAGAAAAGGTCTCATTTGTCCGATGCAGTACCCCTAGCTCAGTTTTGGTGGCTTCCATCATCCGAATTTTGATCGCATGTGTGCAATACAAAATTTTGTGTGTTGGAAAAGGGTGCGTACCAAAATTTGCAAGCCAGCGCTAGCGTATGCCACGTCTAAAAGTATTGGGGGTTGGATTGCGTAACAAACATGGATTAAGCTCATTTTCTCGTCATTCCATTAGCAAACTCTGCGCGTTGCGTGCGAACTAAGCAATACACCACACACTAGATACATAGTGGCAAATAGACCGTGTTTTAACCAGTTCGCTTGCGATTCCGGGGCAACGAATAATGACCAGTTCATCTGGCTCGCGAGCGGCGGTGCTGCCATCTTATGGTCCCAGAGCAGACCCAGCCATTCATTTGCTTCCATACATATCTTACGTCACCATGGTAGTTGACACCACGAAAATATTTGTTTCTTTGCAATGATCCGAATCGCACTAAGACAGCCGCTTTTGTACAACAAACTTTTAATGATATAATGGCTAATTTCCCAAGCTATCATTTTATTCACGCCGGTGACTCCATGACTAACGACCACACCGGACATTCAGTAATTTGTGAAGAACATTACCATAATGACACCTCAGTTTATTTGCTGAATTATTTCCTGTTCATCCTGCTTTACAACACATTCAACGGCACGACCATTCTGTGCAAACAATCGTGACTTGTTCAGGTTCTGAGGCAGCTGTGCAGGCACTGTTCCGCTGAGCTATTACACAAGCATCACACACAGTCCGCCTTGTCAGCATCACTAATCTCTATGATATCTTACACACACACAATGTACATGGCATGACATGAAGCGACGCATTTTTTTCTTCAAATTCCAGCCCAAAGAGGTATCATGGGGAGATGAGCGGGCTGACCAATCCATCAAAGAAGCCTTGACGGCCGCTGTCGCCACGGGCTTCTCAATTGATTATGCAGCTATAGTCTTCAGTTCGCTCACTAACAAAACATTTCGGCTCGGGCAACGGACAGACGCCACTAGGACACAACTTAATGCCATTAAATTCAACATTACGTCTCGGCCATCAATGCATCGTGAAGACCGTTTGGATGAGGAGGTGATGACTCTTCTGTGAATTGGACACCGTATCATCTACACTTGATGGTCGCATAGGCTTGCATCACCGCTGTTCTCACTGTCAGCCGTGCGATCATCCACCTTCAGTTAAATTATCATTGAGTGCACCAAATTTCAGCAACAACGCAAAGCTGTGAAGGTCCAATGTCGTCGGTACAGCATCAAGTTTTCTCTAAAATGTGTCCTTGTTGACAGCTTGTCTTGACAAAAGTTGCCCATATCCATTTGCTCGGCTTACTTTTCGTAAGCTGTTCAGTGCATTAGCGAGGAACATTATTCACATAGATAAGACAGTGGGAATAGCCCTAATCCCCGGAGAAAAGCCGTGAATGGAGCTATTATTGGGTTGATATTTCAGCAATATGCCTTTATCGAAACAACAGCAGAAATGAATGATTTCAATTTCAAGGCTGCTGAACAGTCACTGAAGTGAATTCACCCCCGCTAGTGCTTCAATAAAGGCATGTTGTCGAAATATCGAACCAACAATATCTCCATTCTCCTGCTTTTTCTCCTAAGTTTTTTTCCTAGGCTGCTACTACTGTCTTATTGACCTACTTTTTATCTTGACGTCGGCACATCAAATTCTCTTCATAAGTTGTCTTCGTTGACAACTTGTCTTGACAAAAGTCGTTCATCCCCATTTTCTCGACCTACTGTTCATCTTTCTAGGAGTTGCCATCCTGCTTCAATCGATGTTTAAGCTCGTAATGAGCGTTTTCTTCATTTACGTAGCAACACCCTTTATGTGAAGTCATACTTCCAGACGTAATATTGTCAGAACGGGCCGAAACACCTTAAAAAATGAAATGAAAATTGTGCTTGACACTTAAACTGAACGCTTTACATTCGCAGAGGAATAACTGTAATTTACTGATGCTAGGAGTTGTGGCGAGGTACGCAAGACACAGACAACTTGATAATCATAATTTGTATTTGCCTTGAACACTACATGGCCGATGATGTGGTTGTATTCACGTGACGTTTCTATGACGTACCGTACGCCCATGTGACGTTGAGATAAACGGCACGAAAGAGTCTGCACAAGTTTGATGTCGTTTAGCTCAGAGACCATAGGGTTTTAATTCTTAAAAAGAGCAGGGTTGTGAATTGCATTAAGTGACCTTCAAAATGGTTATCTCCGTTCAAAAACGCATACAACTGAACTATAGACGGAGGTAAACTGTAGAACCCCACGGAGGCTGCGAGCGCTGATGAACAGCGACAGCGTCGTCTGCGAACAGGTGCAGTCATAGGCCAGCTATCTGTAGCGAAGCGAGGCATGATCCACCCACCATCGTAACCACAACCAGACACAAGGCTGTCAACGGGATGTCCGAGGCAGAAGTGTCGTGGCGCTGATTGTCGGGAATGCACGGCACAGTCTCGTCGGGAGGTGGGGGGAGGGGAAGGCACGGGGAACAGCGCCGCCAGAATGGCCGTCAGATGCGTGTAGGATACGTCAATGTCTTGGGGATGCTGCACGCACGAGCCTCCCACTGGACGGGACGAGGTCCGGGTCAGCCGCGTCCAAACACGATTGGATTACGACAGACACGACGGTCGCTGGTTCTTGTCCTCGAGGACAATCAAAAATCACGTTTTCAGTCGCACGGAGGATGCCGAGTAGATAGATGGACAGACACTGAAAATGTGGTCGAGCCTTCATTTTTCAACCATGTGCTAACAAACTTTAGGGGGAGCCAACACCCTCCAGGACGGTCACGGATCAATCAGTAATTTGTATAACAAATAACATATCCGGCTGATCAGTGTTTGTCCGGTATATGTGTCGCACAAGGAGATGTCAAAAGTGTACATTAGTGATCTGCGATAATCATTACACAACACAAACGAAAGTATAAAGGCCGTGGTAATAGGCTTCTTCCTCGGAGACACACAAAGAGAATTGAGGCATATAGCTCATCTATATTTCCATTGTCATGGTGTTTCTCCGAGGAATAAGGCTATCACTTCCGTCTGATGTGTTTAAATAATGTTCCTCGCAGATGCCCTGAACAATTTTCGAAAGTAAAACGGCTTTAAAAGAAGGTACTGGAACCGCACCACGAAAAAAAGCGCGTCACTTCATTTCACGTGAACATGCCCGCAGTGAAGGTGGCTCACGCCTCCACATCAGCGTCCACTGTCACCGAGATGTCGCCGATCAGCACTCATCGGAGTCTTTGAGCTGAGTGACATTGAGCCGCGCCTGGCGCAGATGCCCCACCAGAGAATACTCTACCTTAGAGTAGCCTGTCGGCACGATCACATCTCCGCCGGCCAGGAAGGCCGACATGTAGCCGAATGTGCCGTAGGTGACGATCGTGTGGTTGCACATGCCGAGCGTGGCCATGTCGAACGCCTCCGACGCGTCGGAGCCGACGAACATCACGTCGTCGCCGACGATGTGTGTCCGACACCAGGCCATGTCGTCACTCGACACGAGGAAGGCGGGGCGCGGGTAAGTACGCCGCGCGTGCCTCAGCGCGCACCGCAGATACGCGGGCGAAACCAGGTGGCCGTGTATCTTATCCCGCAGCCACTCGGCATAGTCGGTGCGTCTCACGTGCACGCCGATGTACGTGCGCGTGCCGTTCGGCGCGCGAGCGAGCCGCCGCTCGGCCTCACGTGACACGTTGGCGCGCCACACCAGCTGCGCCAGCGCCTCTTCGCGCCGCGCGTAGAAGCGCGACACCGGGCACGGTCCGCCCGTCACGTGCAGCGACTCGCCCGCCGCCAGTCGCGCTCCAAACGTCTTTTCATCACCCATTGACACTTTTTGCCAAGAGATGGCAGCACTACACCGATCCGACAATAGAGAAACCTGCCGCCGATCCTCAAAGTGGCGTCGCAGTTTTTCGTACATCGGTGACAGGATGCGCGCCTGGACGCCGGTGATTGCTTCAGACAGCACCCAGAGTGTGAGGTACTGGCAAATTTTATTGCCCAGCCGGCCACCGGGGTTCACGACGAGCAGTGGACCTTGCGGGCAGCCGGCTGGTGGCAACTTCGTGGAAGTGCTGTTGTGCGATTCCGTGGAGGTTGCTCTTGGTGGCGAAGGCTGCACGAGCTGAACGCCTTCGTATTCTACAGAGGGCGCGGAACGTTCGCCAAACAACTGGGTGTTCGGCAGCCTGTCACTCAGTGGCATGCACCATATCAGCAATAAAGCAGTCGCTGATAGCACCATCAGTGTCTGAAAAGGAAAAAGAGTTACGACTGGGGCAGGCCCTTGACACAGTTACATCGACAGCCCTTGACGCTTCGCATGCATGGGATCAAATCAGTTTCCTCAGCCAGAGCGTGATGACAAATAGTTGGTTTGGCGCGGCATTGAATCTGACAACTCCGGAGGTGTTTTTACTGGCTTGTACACATCATGTTCTCACCTTCAGTTTTGTCTTTACTTTATGCTCACCTGGCTTGAAAACTGGCATGTTTATGAGCACATGACACCCATTGTTGATGATCTAATAATGAACTGCTTAAATAGAAAATAATAGTTAAGTGTAAAATGCGCCTGAGGCGCAAGTTATTGGTAAATGGAGCATGATATCCTGGGATAGTTTTGACCCAGTCGTCTATAGCGGACGCACGGCAGTATTCAATCACAACAACACAAATACTGTAAGCGAGCCTGGGCTACCCACAACAAAGTATGAGTATATCATGTTATTCGCTTTTTAATTTTTCATCCACAAATAGCTCATCGGGAAAAACCTTATTGTCCCTTGTGTTTGTCGAAAGCCCGTTCTCTGTTTTCTTCCCGGGACATCAGTGGGCATAGCCAAACTCATGTTCCAGGAAATGGTCGAGATGTATTATCAGGGGCGCACTGAGGAAGACAGCGCTGACTTTTGCAGAGATAAGGGATAAGTGACGTGAAGTGCATGCACAACCGGAGATTCCCATTAATCTGGCAACTTGCTTCCTGTTTTGGGAAGGATTTAGGGGTACTTTGGTACCATGTTGTTTTTTTACTGGGGAACATGTTGTTTCGCTGCCTCCCCTCCCCTCCCCAACCGCCCCCTTCTGGCGATCCCTCTGCATCCTGTAAGGGGCCGGTGGTCTGATGTTGAATTTGGGAACCGTGTGGCTGCCGATGGCTCTTACCTTGCTCCTTTTTTTCATTGTCCCTGACAGCCCAATCCCTGAAAACAAATGGCAATGTGTTAGGTTTGCAGCTTCTTCACACCGAGCTGGGGTTATCCATGTTGTGGTTGCAGCCACAGATAAATGAGGAATTTTACCACCGATTACGTACAAATGAGCACACAATTCATTAGTGATGGTAGTAGAAGATTTCAGCCCACCCAGGTTTCTATGCACCCCATAATGTGAACAAATCACCAAGTTCAAAAATGATTCAGGGGCAAAGTTGTCCATAAGAACCATTTTAGTGCACCGGAAAATAATCGCTAGCGTGCGACAAAAAGCAACGCGATAGCCGGTGGACAAGAAGTCAGGCATTAGCTAATGACGAGCATGGGGGACAGCAGACAGAAGCCCCACACACTTTCAAGACAATTGAGCGACACACCACTTCGAGGAAAGAAAAGGCTTGCTTTTATTTCCATACAATAACGAAAAATAAAGAATCGATAAACGCCACCAGCGAAACCATGACCCACCGCTCACCCGCCAGAGGGCCTATTAAAGCGATTCACGCATCCGCAACTGGCTGGATCATGGGTCCGCCACCCGGCTGGGTCACGCGTCCGCGACCAGCCGGGTCGCGCGTCCGCGATGTGTTTGGTTGTGCTTCCATACTGAGCACGGAGCGTCAGCCGCACCAGGCTATCTGCCAAATCCCGTCTAGTGTTAGAACAGATAGCGTATCTGCCCGCACGGTTTAAGTGCGCCGTCGACGCGTGCCGTATGCATCGGAACGGTGCCAGTCAAACCTCAGCGCCTCCGCCCTCTGAATGGCCAGACATCCGCTGGTCACGGATATAGGTGGCGCTGACGTACTGGGAAGCTTAGCAAATGTTTGAGGACGCGACGATCCGGCACGAGCGTTGATTTGTGTTCTTCCCGGTGGGCTACTGGACCCCCAGTGTCGGAATGGACCAAAGCTGTATCAATTGTAAAGAAGGTTTCTTCTAATTGTTTCACATGCAAAACAAACAAAATGAAAACTTCCACGCCCGGATCAGCTGGGTGAAGCTGGCTGAGCTGGCCTCACCTGTGAAGCTCCGCGTTCATGCCGCGTCTACTCGAGAATTTTCAGTTTTTACTGCATAATGCATTATGTTGATTGCACAGATTTTAATTCTCTTTACTCCCTTCAAACACCCCCACTGAACACTCTCTGTGTCCAGGGGGCCAACTCCGCGCGGCCTATGGAGACTGCAACATCGGGAATGGGGGTTTGGTTCTAGGGCTTGTGAGCGCAATTTTTAAAAGCACGCGATGTGACACTTTCACTAATCGATTCTAATCAGCCCCGTAAATTTCCAGACGAAAATGAGTTGGGCATGTCAACACAAACATCTGACCCCGTCTCGATCTGCGATCTACGTGCACTATCACCTGCATTCACGCTGTCTCTGTACAAACCATGATAATTCTGCACATTCTGCCGAACATGGCCACCATGCACGGGTGACAGGCACACATTTTTTATGCACCGCGCATGATGGTGCTGGTCCGAAATGAGACACTGGGGAAATGGACAGTTGCACGATTTTTTCCATGATTTACCTTCTCACTCACTGACTGCTCCGAGCTATCTTTGCTTGCGGACAATCATTCTGCGTTGCATGTGAGCAGCAGTCCCATCTGCCGCACCAAGTGAGCTGTAGCGTCGTGCCACTGGCCGACTTTAAAAACCATGAGTATGCAAATAACATTATGTATGCAACGCAACAAACTGAACGCCTAAAAAGACCCTGGGCGTCCCGTGTCACTATGGACACCCAGGGAAACTTCTCGATGGTCCGAGGGCTCTAGTGGCCGGGGCGACTCCACACTAGCTAGACGTCCAGTGAGCACATATGTACCTGGTGTCATCGGTGTACGTTATCGAGTCCAATAAAACAAATCGACCTTACCACTGCTCTGAGTCGGTGAGCTCCGCAGAGAACGGCGCCGTTTTTCATCTGCCGGTTTTAAATTGGTTAATTGGAACACCGCGGCCGGGCGGTACAAACTGGTCCAACAGTAGCGAAGAGTGTTGATGCAGTTAACGCTAACGAATTCTGGAAACCCGGGCAACGTTTAGTGGAATGAAGAAGCGGAAATGAATGAGAGAGAGAGAGAGAGAGAGGGAGAGAGGGAGAGAAAGAGGGAGAGGGGGAGAGAGAGAGGGGAGAAAGAGAGGGAGAGAGAGAAAGAGAGAGAGGGAGAGAGAGAGAGAGAGAGGGAGAGAGAGACAGAGACAGAGAGACAGAGAGACAGACAAGACAGAGAGACAGACAAGACAGAGAGACAGACAGACAGACAGACGGACAGACAGACAAACAGGCAGACAAACAGACATACGGCAGACAGACAGACGGACAGACAGACAGACGGACAGAGAGAGAGAGAGAGAGAGAGAGCTACAGCCGGTAGATCGGGCCAAACCGTTTGGCGGTCCGGTCGCCGGCTGAAAATCTGTCGAGGAATCGAGGAATTGTCGGCGTAACAGGATGATCGGCGAAAGAGGAAGATTTTTATGTCATCCATTGTTCGTCCGGCCGCAATCTCCCGGTCCTCACCCAATCATGACGCATCCCAGTGCCGTGGTGGACCACCGAAGTGAGACAGGTTATGGCACATCGGAACGTGTCTTCCGCTGTTGTCGACGCCATCATGAGGATCCTGATCCCCTTGCCCGAAATTATAAACGTGCTCGAGCTCGGTGAATTGTATGGAATATGAAGCACCATTGTTGAAAAACGAGTATTCTGCATATCACTTCTGCTGCTACTCCGGGCCGACTATGGGGAATAGTTCGAGCACTTTCCAGAAAATGGCCTTCCTTTTTATTGCCCATAGTACGCATCAATAGCCAAGTTATGCCGACAATGCCTCTATAATCATTGTTCTTGCTGTGGCCCTTGCTCAGTGTAGCCCTTTCGGAAAATGTCATGCGGGCATCGTGGATCTTGCAAAACATTTTTTTTCTTTTATATGCTAATTGCTTTGTTTCCAACAATACAGAAGAACATTATGCTAATAAAGCTAATGAAGCTCCAAAGTACAATTCGATCTGCCGGTGACCATCTCGGAAGACAATATCAATTGCACTCATCGATTGATATCGTCAGTTGAGAAGTGCAATCGACAATCATTGAACCTATCGTTCCATTCCGTTCTCATGTCACCCAGGAAAGCTATTTAAACATATGATAGTCAAGCGAATTTCATGGTTAGTGGAGCGAGACCACAATTAAGAGACACCACTTTTAAGAGATTTATTCTTTCCAAGCATCAATGTGGATTTCGACGCAATCTCAGTACAGCTGTACCAGAAAGAATCACCTGACTGGTCGACAACAGAATCTGCCATAAATAAGAGAAATAAGTTTGCGTGAGCACGAACAACGCTGCAAAACACGATCCAGTACTCACTGAGTCAGCTGATGGCAACCGGGCTTCTTGATCCCTGCTCGGCAGCGACTGGAGCCGACTGCCGGCGTTGATGAACGTCATGTGCGACCGGCGCATGCGCCGCCTGCAGACGTAAAGCGCGGGCGACGTGCTGCAAACGTCACGACTCGACCGCCCCAGGTGGAGGGTTTTGCGTCATCTGAGGATCAGTTGTTTTGTTCTTTCAGTGTGATTCTGATGCTGATGACCCTAGTGTATTTTCCTAGTAATTTATCCTGCTATCTCTCCTTTTTCACTTCGTGAATCTATCTCTCGTCGCCGTTGTAAGCGTCACAGACAACCTAGTTGGCATTTGCCGAAAGGTCGCGGTCGCTGTCGCTGAGGTCACAGGGGTGAAGTCCCCTCAGTCTGGAGCGCTCCTCACTAATGTGCTTATAGCGCACCAGGTTTTCTGAATGTTGCGCCTCGAGCACTCTCTGGCCTTGGCTGAGAAAGTGCGAACACTTGCCCAGCTGACCCTTGACTTGATGATGACGTTGAGAGTTTATAAGCGCGTAAACTACGCGACCATTTGGCGCATTTCTGAAGCTGTCAGCTGCATGCCGATCGGTCAGTACCTTGTCACCACTATATCACTGCGCACCTTGTCTGCGTACCTATGCAGTTGCACGGTCGGAAATGGTTCTGAAGACAAAATGGGCTAAGAGGGTGAAGATGCACAGGTTCAACATCACAGCACGGGTTCCGCCCCCGGCACAGGAAAAGGGCGCTTGAACGAAGCAGCGCAGACGACCCGTGGCACAGCCGCGGCACTAGGTCAGGAAGTGTTCAACATTTAGACGCACAGAGGTAAAAAGCATCTGCTCGATCACGAGCCTGGGAAACTCATACCAATCACTCC